CCAGCCCTGACGCTGCAAGAGACCAATTCTACGAGGACATGCACGCCCTCCTGGCAATTGTGCCGAAGGTGTATAAGTTGATTGCCCTTGGTAAATTCAACGCCCACGTCGGCACAGATCATGTTGCCTGGAGAGGAGTTCTGGATCCCCATGGTCTCAACGGCTCTAACGACAGTGGTCTGTTCCTGCTATAAAGCTGCGCAGATCGCCGTCTCATCCTGACCAACACCTTCTTCCGCCTCCCGGTGAGAGAGAAGGCAACCTGGATGCACCCTCAGTCGCGACATGGCATCTGATGGACTATGTCCTCGTCGGGACGGAGGCGAGACCAGCGGGACGTGCTGGTGACAAAGGCGATTCCGGGGGCCGACGGGTGGGCTGACCATCGTCTCGTCCTTTCCAAGACGCGGATTCGTCTATAGCCTGGCAGGAGACCCCAAGATAGGCAACCACCAGGCAAGCTGTTCACCATCTCCATTTCAGCAATGAACCAGCTCAACGACTAGCCAACCTTCCAGTCGTCGCTGCCGCCGATAACGAGAACGCCTCTGTGGAGAACCGATGGTGTTAACTGCGGGACACAGTCCAGTCGATGACCCTGGCTCTTCTCGTTCGCGCACGTCGCCAACATCAAGGCTGGTTCGATGACAACGACACCGCCATCAGCAATCTACTCGTCGAGAAGAACTGTCTGCACAAAACCTACTTTACTCGTCCCACCGACGACGACAACAATTCAGCCTTCTACCGTAGTCGTCGCCTTGCGCAACAGCGGCTGCGCGAGATGCAGGATGCTTGGATGGCTCGCAAGGCCGAGGAGATGCAAAGGTACGCGGATCTCAATGAATGGAAGAACTTCTTCTCTGCGATCAAAGCCGTCTACGGTCCGCCAACTGAGGCAACTGAACCTCTTCATAACGACGACGATAGTATCCTATTCACTGAGAAGACACCGATTCTACGGCCATGGACGGCCGTCCGCGCGTCTTTCGAATTCGGTTTGAAATTTTCTACCTTCGATTTATTTCCTTTTTTGAGATTTATGTCTATTGGACGCTCTGAGGGCCCATGTGTATTAGGAAATGGAATCGTAATCAGCAGTTCCTGGATCTACACGGAGCTTCGGCAGCACTTTTTCCGGACAACCATTCTGCTTCGGATCACTTCTCTGCCAACAGCGCCGCGGGACTTCCCAAATCCAAGAACAGCTGAGTCGTTTGCTATTTGCTTTATATCGTTGGTCTCATTAAATAGCCCCTTCTACATCTACGTCTAGTTTATTTACTTAAAAATGGTAATCGAACAAGTGCGTGTGGGATGTTGCTCGAAAAGTTTGCCCCGGGTCGGAATCGACCCTAATCAAGAGGTTTTCGTTACCAATAGACCACTGACGCGTATGAGACGGACTAAAAAAATAATGTAATAAACAATGCATATTTTATAAATGAATATAGCGTAGGGTTTCCTGCTATCAGATCTCCCTCTGTCAAGCAGACCGGGAGTTTAGTAACCTTAATGGATGTCAACTGCGAAAACGAGGACGAAACCCATGCGCCATGTTTTAGACTTCTTCAGAAAGTCTTGGAGATTGAGAATGGGATACGAGACCTAAAAATGGAGATGGAGAAGTTGATTAAACTTCCTCGCCATTCACTCGAAAAGAGAAAGCCGGAGATGTCAGAACGTCAGAAAAAAGAACGTATTCGAGCACAGTCTCAGTAACTGGATCACCCACCCAGGAAAAAGACAGCCCGTCTAAGGAAAAGATCACAACTGAGAACCGACTTCTTGTGCGAGAAAATAACGACAGAGAGGGATCTCAGGAAATGCAGAAGCGCTCCAGGGCATCCCGAAAAAACAAAGCAGGTAAGAGTGTCCGTATGAGAGAGCGGAGTCCACGCGCAATGTCAGCAAATACCCTACTGTCGAGGGATGCTTCGCACGACCAAGAAGCCTCGATGGATGAGGAACCCTGTGGTAACTACGCCATGACAGTTGTCTCTGAAGTAAACGATGATGACAATGGAAATCGGCGGAATGCTGGCCCTGTGTGTAAAATTAAACGCTGTGGTTCTCTACCAAACCGACACCTCGACCGAAAACGAAATATCGTCATAAAGGGAGCTCTTGAGTCCACTTCTTCGATAAGAAAAGAAAGAAGCGAACACGATCTCAACCTCTTTCGAACATATTCAAATGTCGGAGAATGTGATCCCGTGCACAGAGCTTTCCGTCTAGAAATAGCAGGTGCGTCGCGTGGACTACCAAGGCCTGTCGAAATTATTCTTGCGAATGGAGCCCAGTCTTCACGTCTCCTAGAAGGGAGGATGGCTCTTCGTTATTCGCATAAGGAGGTTTTTTAAGACGGATTACGAACCGACAGACACAAGATGAGGGAGCTCTGAACAGAACTGGAGAGGAGGACATAAGAGGGGGAGAAGGGATTGAAAATAAACGAAGGGAAGATAATACAGATCAAGCGATCTTTCCTGTGGCTAACC